GCGCCGTGGGGATCCCGGGGCGCTGGAGGGCCGCGGACTCGGCTCCGCGCGGCGACATGGACCGGATGGCCAGCTCCATGAAGCAGGTGCCCAATCCACTGCCCAAGGTGCTGAGCCGGCGCGGGGTCGGATCGGGGCTGGAGGCGGCAGAGCGGGAGAGCTTCGAACGGACCCAGGTGAGGACCAGAGCCCCCGCGGCATGACCGGGACACGCCGAGAGACACTGACCCGGAGGGAACTTTGAATACTGGAGGGATCTTGCAGACCCAGGAGAGGGCGAGTCCAGGAGGCTGTGAAGGGCCGGTATCGGGCGCTTAGATGTGGGGATCTCAGGAGGTCAGGGTCCCTGGGACATCCCTGGCGCCTGGGGGACAGGACCCGAGGGGCCAGGGGCTTGACTCTTGTAGCCGGATAGCCCTGCGCCGCCAAGGGGGGCCTGGCTTGGCGTGGACAGGCTGGGTCACTAGGAGGGGTGGACCAACAGTGGAGGGCCGTGGGTGGAAGGGTGTCCCTGGGCAGGGGAAGCGCACGGTGTGTGGGGGGGGGTTGGGGGTGGGGATGTCATTGGCATACCATGTGGGGGCGGAAAGTGCGTGTGCTGGGCCGAGGATGAAGGGTGGTCACCTTCTCCATCTCAACCCCTTTCCTCTCTGCACTTCACCGTGGCACTGATGTTCACCACTGGTGAGCACCCAAGCTCTCCACACCTCAAAAGGGCCTGGGGGAAGCGCTCAGAGTTCTGAGTAGAATAAAAACAAAAACAAATTCTTGCCATCCAGCCCACGCTGACTCAGAACAACCCTATAGAACTGCGCCTGTGCGTTCCTGAGACTGCAACTCTTCACAAGAGTAGAAAGCCTCATCTTTCTCTATCGGAGCTACTGGTGGTTTCGAACTGCTGACCTTGGCAGCCCAAGATGTGTAACTAACTGAGAAGGAAATGCCAGCTGTGGCCAGGCCTGGAAAATGACTGGGGACTGGAGGAGGCAGGGATTGGGGCTCCTGACAGACAGCCTGCAGCTGGCTGGGTCGAGCTGCAGATGGCTTTCAGAACCCAAATTTGAGGTTTTGTTGTTGTCAGTCTTAAGACGCGTTCACTGGACAGCTAACAGGCAGCCTGTCCAGAGCCGGGGTGCCAGAACATCCCGTTGTCATCAACGGAGAGCCGCAATCTACTTTACCTCAGAGTTTTAATGCTCTCCGTATTGATCCGACGGACAGGTTTGTGCTGCTCATCTGTTTTATATTTGTTTTATATCTATTTACGATCTATTCTCGGCGGGCACAGTGCTTCTTTGAATCCCACTGCCAAGGTGGTGATCTTCGCTCTTGCCCTCGGAGCGTAATCTTTCCAGAGCCTGTTGGGCTCTCACGCCTCAGCGCCCTCCTGCCCGGGCTCTGCTGGTCCTGGTTCTTCTCCCAAACACGTTAGAGAAAGGGCTTTGGACTCTCCAAAGAAAGCGAGTAAGAACCTCATTCTCTCTCACTGCCCTCGAGTTGATGCTGCCGCATAGAGACCCTGCCGGACAGGTTAGAACTACCCCTGTGGGTTTCAGAGACTAGCTCTTTCTGGGAGTAGAAAGCCTCGTCTGTCTCTCTCGGAGCTGGCTGGTGGTTTCGAAGCAGACCTTGTGGTTAGCAGCAGCCCAATGTGGAACCACGACGCTGGCAGGGCTCCTTTTAACCTAATTGGAATACTTTAGATGTGGTTGCTTACGAAGACTGAAGCAGGGCGGGGGGTGGGGGGCTTCATCCTTATGACTAAGACCCCAACGCAGGTGTGTCTGCAGGTGAGAGGCCCCCATTTCACTCCCCCCCACCCCCTCAGCCCACCTGGCTTTGAGGAGTGTTTTCTGGCTGTGAACACCGGCTGTTTTCTGTCTGGCTGGCCAGGCAGGACTTGGAAGGTGTAAACTGCTTCTACCAGCTGTCTGGTTGCCCTAACCACGAGGCTCTTGGCCTCAGGAAAGTGGATGTTTCTTCTCCTAAATCAAAGAGAAATGGGTGTCGTTTCGACATAGCTCATCCCTTCTAGAGTCTCAGAGAAGGGACAACAGAAGCAACGGAGAACTGTTCGGAAGACTTGGACCCGCTGTAGGGAGACCTAGGTGCTTGAAAATGCTTCCGCCATGAATGAGCTCTCTACTGGCTGGCTGGGGAGATCCAACAAGGACAGCCTGGCTCAGTTCTCTGTGGTTACATTACGTTCTGTGGGACACTTGTAATTGTCCACTTGAACCAGTGTGTGTGTGTGTGAGAGAGAGAGAGAGAGAGAGAGAGAGAGAGAGATCGGAAAAGAGGGTTTTTCTATTGCTGAAACTTTTTAGGGTAGCAGGAAATGAGGAAAAGAGAATAGTCCCCAAAGTTAGCACTTCACTCCTCTGCAAACATTTATTTTGTTTGATGACTACTTTTTCAAGAGGCTTACGAGATATAAAACAAATGGGGGAAATTCTTTAAAAATGAGTTAGAGACTATGAAAATCTGTCAAGATGTAATAATAATGAGAACGATCGTGTTTGGAATAATTCTAAGTCCTTACCTGCTATGACCTTATTTAATTTTAAGGATCCTTGGGGGTCCTGCTCCAGTTAAGCACTGGGCTGCTAACCCCTAGGACGGTGGTTCAAATCCATCAGCTCCGTGGGAAAAAGTTGAAGCACCTGCTCCTGTACGGATCTGCAGCCTCAGAAGCCCTGCCCAGGGTTGCCGTGAGTCAGAAATGAACTTGATGGCAGTGTGTTGACCTAGTCTTGACCAGGACCTACGTGGGCTATGGACGAGGCCCTGGGGCACAGAGAAATTAAGTAACTTGCCTGAGGTCACACAGCAGGACATTGTCCCATTGTGGGATCACTGTGTTAGGGGACTGGGAAGAGCACCGGCCTTGCAGACAGGCAGAGTCTGTGTTTACCCATGGGCCTGCACACAGCCGTGTGCTCTCAGGCAAGCTGCCCGGCCTGGCTAGGCTTCAGGGTTGGTTTTGCTGCTGTTGTTGTTGAATAAAGGTAACAGTTACCCCATAGGTTTACTGTGGTGATTAAATAATTCCGGTAAAGCATTTGGTCATCTGTGCAGCATGACTCAAGTGTAGTTTCTTATGGCTAAACTCTCAGAAGGAGCTCCCTCCCCCGTGGTGCTGCCAGGTAAGCGTGGGGCCGCTAACCACAAGGGATGCCGGTTCAAACCCACCTGCCCCTCCTTGGGAAAAAGTTGAGGCCCGGATGATGTACAGCCTTGGAAACCCTCTGTAGGGTTGCTGTCGAGCCGGAATGGGAGCCCTGGTGGCATCGTGAGTGATGAATTGGGCTGCTGCTAACTTCAGGGTCAGCTGTTCAAAACCACGTGCAACTGCACAGGAGAAAGAGGAGGCTTTCTAGTCCCGTAAAGAGTTAGAGTCTTGGAAGCCCACAGGGGCAGTTTGACCCTGTCCCATAGGGTCCTTATGAGGTTGTCTCGACTCGATGGCAGTGGGTGGATGAGTCGGAGTCAGTTCGATGGTTGGTTGGTCAGCCTGGGTCCAGGTTGGGGACAGACAACGTGAGCCTTCAGACAGCAGAAATACAGGCTGTGATGAACTCTTAAAGGCAGGGACAGAGGGAGACTCGGTAGTTAGTACAATACGTACTGAGAATGTTCACTTTGAGAGTGTGGGTACAGTAGAGGCGGTTGGACAGAGAGGAGCAGGTGGAAGCACTCTAGTAACGTAGGGCTGTCTGGAGGCCAAAAGGCATTCAAGGTGGGTGTCGGCAAGACCATTGGCCGAGGAGGAGAGGGGGCAAAACTGGCTGCTTCCACTTTAGAAACCCCCCTCTCCCGCCCCCAAACACATCTTGTCAAGGTCTCCTGGCTGCCTCGGGGTTGTGCCATTTCCCAGGGTCAGCTGCGAGCTTCAGGAAAAGGAGGTTTGCCCCTTGCCTGAGTCCTCAGATGCCTGAGACATGTGGTGAGTGGCACACAGGCTGTGACTGGGGTTAATGCCAGGAGGGAAGACCACCTGCAGTCAGCCTGGTGAGACCCCACTGTGAAGACCCCTGCCCTAATGGCCCTACTCAGCTATGGGCCACAGGAAGCATCTAGAATTGTTTGGCCTCTTTCCTCATGGCCCCAGGGCCCCTCTGGTTCAGCCTGGACCCCCTTCACAGGCGCAGTCAGAAGTCCTACCATCTCACCCATCAAGGGACCCTGATATCTCTTTGCCTTCCTTCTGGTTAGTGCCCATGTCATCCACCCCTCCGATCTGCCTGGTTCCTCCCTTGCACCATCCTCTTCCGGGGGTGTCCTCTCAGCTGTCCTGTCTCAGTCACCACACTTCACACGCCCGTGTCCCTGCTGGGATAAGGCCCCTTCACCCAAACGATGACCCTGGGTGTGTCCCTCACCGCAGGTACCCAGCCCGTCACAGGAAGGGGCTTTGGGGAGTGAGTACTGGTTCCTGCCTTCACCACCAAGCACTAGTCACCGCTTCGTGCTGGAATGACTTACCCAAAATGCTTTTCGGTTCATGGGAAGGTAGCTAGCGGGGTGCCCTGGTGACACAGAGGTTCAAGCGCTTGAC